GTTGGGTTAATGATATTGAATCACTGCTCAATGGATGATGCACAGGTGGTAACCTAATGCTGAAATCATGCAACTGCGGTGCACAATTATATTAATAACGTGAATTCTTTGTCTACAATTGTCTTCTGTCTTTCCTGGAAATGAGTTTTAAAAATAATGTAGCTGTGAAAGATTAGAGCACAGAAGCAGCACAGGACACAGCGGAGCAATAGCCGGGAGGGCTGACACAAGCACAGGTGTTCCTAAAAGGCACCGTCTGCTCCAGTGTGACCTCAACACTTGTAAGAAAGGGGCTCTGTGTTTTTTCTGTTTTCTGAACTGTTAACACAAGAAAAATCAGCAATTTTGGAGCAGCAGATATTTCTATTCTCAGATGTACTCAGTGATAGAATATGCATAAAGTGAAAATGTTTTCAAAGTACTAGATTTTGAAAAGTAACAACAACAAAAAAAACTGCTTAGTGATTTCTAAATTGTTCGTTATTGACAAGGCATGAGGGTTGTCCTGCTTGCAGGTAATACCGCTTTAATATTAGTCTTAAATCTGAAATTAGAGATAGGTTAATGACGTGTGTGGTCACCAGTGGAATGAAAGGAAAGTCATTAAATGCCTTTAATTATATTGATGGACCATTTGTACTAGACAGACTGTGGCCAGGATTGGTCCTGCTCTTGGGACCCAGTGATCAGTTCTGGTGGTGACCCATCAGCAACACTGACTCTGCAATGGTGATGGCCACACAAATATTAATACTGTTGTTGCATTGAACAGATGAGACAGTTTAGACACAGGAAACAGATCTGACTTAAACTGTTGCGTTCCTGTCTAAGAGAAAAGACATTTACAGTTTCAGAGCATAAAACTTCTGAGGTTGGTCAGCAAGACCATAGTTAACATTGTCCTAGGAGTTTGATGTTAGTACAAGAGGAGTTGCAGGAACGCGTTCCTGAATTCTCTGCTCATCTGTGCCTGATCCATTTGCCACTGAGTTCCTGAGCCGTATTTCAAATAAATAAATAAATAAATAAATAAAAAGGGCATTTAAATTACTTTATTTTCCATTTTTGAAGCCTTGACAGCTACACATATATAACTAAACAATACCTTTAATTATAGGGGGAAGAGTGAAAACGTGGAAACGAAGATGGTTTATTCTGACTGATAATTGCCTGTATTATTTTGAATACACAACAGTGAGTATATATGACTGAGCTGTGTTTGTAATCAAGGAATTTAAGTGGCTAGTAATGTGATTAAACCTTTTAAAATTATTATTATTATTTAGGACAAAGAACCTAGAGGAATTATTCCTTTGGAAAATCTTAGTATAAGAGAAGTTGAAGACCCTCGAAAACCAGTAAGATATTGTCATCATCATTTTCACTCCTTTTTTTTTTTTTATGAATATAATAAACCACATGGAACTTAGATTTAGTTAAATTGAAATATTTGTCATTTTTTATTAATTTCTTAATTTCTACTCTCCAGAACTGCTTTGAGCTCTACAACCCCAGTCACAAAGGTCAAGTAATTAAGGCCTGTAAAACTGAAGCTGATGGTAGAGTGGTAGAAGGCAACCATGTAGTATATAGGATATCTGCTCCAACCCCAGAAGAAAAGGAAGAGTGGATTAAATCGATCAAGTGAGTTCAGAGTCTGCAATATCTTTCAAAAACGAAGCCTAAACTCCTTTCTGAATAAAATATTAAGAAAATTTGTGTTGTAACTTATTTGAACAATTTTGATGTAGCAGTGTCCTATTCTTAGGATTAATGGCAGGCTGTACAGGATTATTAGACTAAGATTTCTTAAATCTCCTGTTAGCACTATGGCCCTTAGGACCAGATACTACAAACTCACAGGAGGAGAATGTAGAGGGTCTGTTTTGTTTGTTGCAGTTGTTTGCTTTTTTCAACAAAGGTTAAGCCTTATGTGAATCACCTTAAACCTTAGTTTCATTAGGTTATTACTTTATAATTGACACTACTTATCTTTAGTATGTTCATAGTGCATTTGAGCTTTCAAAGCTTGGCTTTATCTTGCAAGTTATGTAAGAGTAAACCCACAGTTAAAGAAACAAATAATATGTGTTTCTGATGCTTACAGCTCAAAAATCCATTACCCTATTAAAATTTTGGAGTTACCCATAAGGAAAAGAGAACAAAATGTGTCTAGTCTTCAAAACCAGGTATTTGTTAAGCAAACTAATGACTCCTTTTCTCTCTTATAGAGCAAGTATCAGCAGGGATCCCTTCTATGATATGCTGGCAACAAGGAAACGAAGAATTGCAAATAAGAAATAGAACTTGATCAGCAGCTCGTATACCTGCATCAGTCTATAAATGAGCATACAGTTGAGTGATTAAAAAAAAAAAAAGTAAACTGAAAATTGAATAAACTAAAGGACAATTATTGTATATATACACATTTTAGTACAACATAAAACTTTTCAGGGTAAAGAGTTACTGGCATATAATTTAGAGTAAGCTTTCTATCCCAGGGGATGATTTTGTTGGGACTTAATTCAACTGAAAACATGGAAGCCTTGTTTTCACTTGTGTTAGTTACAACTTCACTGAACTTGGGGTGGGAGAGAAGGGAAGAAATTTCAGGCCAACAGTAAAATATATTATACTCGTTCCATGAACACTTTGCCTATAAGGATGAAATGACTTTAAGTACTTGTATCTTTCACTAAAACGCAGCACTAAAGTGGAGTACAGAATGATCTAGCACTTAATTTTTCTGTAAGCAGAAAAACGAAAATATTAACATGAGCTTACAAATCTTGTGTGTTTTGTGGTAAATGAACAGCTGAGTGAAGCTTTCACATAGAGTTTTCTCTCCTATCTTATATGGAAGTAGCTTTTCTTCTTCAAAAATGCAGCTCAAGGGTAAACTGGCAGCTACATCGTTCACTAGTTGTGCCAAAGGGTTTGGTTGATATGCACTGAACAATACGCAGCTCCCAACAGCAAAGGTTTGAGTCCGTAGACATGACAGTGAATACAGATTTATTAATTTGTAAACAGATGGTTTAACATTTGCCAGTAGGCTAAAACTCATTCCTGTCTGCTCATACACTCACAATAAGCAGTAAGATTTAATGACTGGTTTATTCTGCTTTTTATATAATAACATCCTTCTTAATTTTTAGATATGTTATAGTTTAATTTACATTAAGTTACTACTAAAGGAATAAGATGACAAGGCTTGCAGTGGTTGTAAGAGTCTAGGTTTTGCATGTGAAAACATCCCCTAAACTTCCATATGCATTTAACTTTTTAAAAGCAGGGTGAAGGTAGTGTAATCCTTCTGTGAAATACAGGCCTTGTTATCAAGCAAGGGAATGAATGTTGCTTGCTTCACAAACTTGGGATGTACAGAAAAGCTGACTGTTTTCATTGTATTCTTAAAGGCGATTTTTCAGATCTGTGCTTCAGTAGTTGAAATAGAAAAGCTGAAGGGATATCCTTGTCTGTAAGAACAGAGTCTTACACGACTGCCTGGTGCAACTATATGTTCCCCCTGCCTGGAGAATGTTGTGAATTGCTGAATGTGTCTGCTCCTACTCTGACAGCCTTTCAGTACCACATGCAAGCTACTGCCGCGAAGACATTACTGCAATGCTTTTCTGTTAATAATGCACACAAATACTTCTGCTATGCAGGTAGCAGCCCCTTTCCCTCTCCCCCTGGTTCCACAGGTGGGGGCAGAGGTGTTTTTGAACCCTGCTGCTTCTCTAGAACTCGGTTTTCCAGAAACGCCTTGAACCTGAGCCCTGCCCACTGTGCAAGTGACTGCCTGGGAGACCTGAAACTTTGTCCAAGCGATTTTGCTTCTCAGTTACAGATGCATCTCTGAATACACATTAGAGTATGCTGCACTGACAAAAACATAGATTTATTAATTTGATCGATTTCAAATCTTATTTTAACTTTAAAGGAGAGTCTGTTTCATGGTTGATGTCATACTCATTTGCCTCACTTTGCCTGTGAATGTTCCACTTTGCTACATGTTTTACTGTGTACAAGCTGGGAGAAAAGAATGGATAAACTTTTTCACACTACGAATTTCCTCCAGAGTGCATAGAACTGCATTTGACTTAAATGTTCCGATCTGTTTTTTATGGAACAAAATTCAGCCAAAGGGCTGAGAACCCTTTAATGATCAGTATGAGGAAGCTGTTGCTTAATGGAACGTATTTAAACTCTTCATAGACACTAATTAAATTGTGTGTCCTGTGTTTGCAAAGCAGCATGATTAGACAGCTGTGAATGTAATAACTTGTTTTGATTTGTCTGTTCCGCAACATTAAAAAAGTTTTGGTTTCAAGCAAAGCATCCATCAGTTTTAGCCTTGGCAAGCAGATTTGTAATGCAAGGAGTGATAAAGCAGACTCGGTGGTACTAGTGAGCATAGCGCTGAAATGCAGCAGTTGAAGTATTTCTGGAGAGATGTGAGATTACAAAAGCCTTTATGAAGCACTTTTGTATCCATTCTTATCTTCTGAAATATCACCTTCAAGAAAACCTATTTATTTAACCAGATGAGAATGTTTATCTATAAGCATGAAGGAAATGCCTTGAGAGTTCATTTGCTATATTAAGTTTGAAAATTTTATATCCTGCAGAAATAATACTTAGAGTAACATGTAACTGAGGATATTATAGCAGGAAATATATTATTTCTTAGCATTAAAAGCACCATCTTAAAAGGCTATTTGTGGTGCTCAATATATCTATTTAATTTGCAACCAAAGCTAATGGAATAGCGTTCTTTGTGTGATATTTGATTTTAAATGTTCTTTGTTACAGTATTAACAGGGAATGAAATTGGCCCAAAATTTCCACTGGCCACGAGGCCAGTAAAACAAAGTGGCTTGTGAAAATTTTGGCCAAATCAGGTACTATCCATAAGAGTGACAAAAAAAACTCTCGACTTTGTTCGTTTGTTTGTTATTGGGCTTAAAGTCCAGGTGTGGTTACCAAGACTAACTGCCCTGTGGCCTCAAGCGGGATCTGTTACAGTTCGGCCATGCTGAGGAAAAGTCATGGGGGGACAGGAGACGCCTCCCTTGGTGAGGCCCTGGAAACGAGCGCGTTGCTCTTCATTGCTCTTTGCTTTCACCATGGCCCTTTTCCACCACGGGGGCCAGCAGAGCCGCCTGGCCCGGCCTCGTCACGGCGCCAGCGCAACCCAGAGAGGAAACCGCACGGGCCTAAGCTCAGCTGGACTGACTTCATGATATTCTGACACAATAAGCTCTGCATCTCTTAACATTTTGAACAGTTTTAAACTGGTACAAAACTGAACCTTTGTAAACTGAGCAGCATTTATAATGCTTCATATATAAAAACAATGCATATTTTTTAAGATTTAATACATATCTATGTAGATATGCTTGCTGGAAGAGCTAGGTCTGTTGTAGACCAAATGCTACAAATTAAGACTTGTGGCTTACCAGGTTCATTTCTATATTTTCTTGGAAAATGTTTCTAGTTAGAGTTTAAATATAAAATGTAAATACTGTACAGGTCTGTATTGGTATAAGTATTGGTGTACACAAGTGATTTGCATGACATATTCTATATCAATCATTGTTAAAAATGTGATGTTCTATGTAAATCCACTGCAATATTAATGTTTTCATTTATCATTAAGACTTGTTGCTTAAATCTGGAGATTTTCTGCAAAAATAAAGTATGTAACTATACTATTGTATAGCTTGTCTTCTTTCTATCACTAGTAATTTACTAGTTAGTTACTATTAACCTAGTAATTTAAATTACTAGGTTAAAGAGAGGAGATCCTTCACCTGCAAGCCAGACTGTGAGTGCATAGTTGCAGCTTTTTTTGGATTCTGTTATGAGCTGTTGTCCCTTAAGGACCACCCTCAGTAGAGCAAATACTTCCTTAGTTCCCCTCTTTGAGTTGCAATCGATTCTGAATAAAACGTCCCCCTCTCTGCTCCTCAGGTAGCTACAGCGACGGCCCCGGCCCCGCTAGGACCAGCCCGCGCTGCCGCAATCCGCCCGCCGGCTGCAGAGCCAGAGCCTCCCGCCCTCCGCTTGCTGCTGCCCTCGCTAGGCTGTGCACGTGTTGCTTCGGGAGCTCGCAGGTAACATCCTTTCATACACTTAGCCCAGAGTCCTTCATTAGACAAGAGACAAGATACAAATCTTGGAGCCACAAAGAGAAAAAAAAGCCAGATACAGGAAAGGTGTGCATTTTCTTTGTCATGTTACTTTATGTAACGTCACATAACTGTTGCCATAGGAACATTATGCAGGGTACACTTATGGTTTGGCTTTACGGTGTTCTCCATGTACCAAAATATTACTTTTAAGTAGTTAGTAAAACATTAACCTTGCTCCTTTCTTAGTGTCACACAGTGGAAAGCTACAGCTGAGCTTTCAACCTTTGTGGAAGCTTTTAACTTCAAAGGAGAAAGACTTCTGCATTCTTGTCTAGGCAGTTGACGTCCCAAGTTTACTTATCTTCTCTGGGTCACACCAACAGCATCTTCGCACCTACCACTGAAAGGAAGATCTGATTTCTTGATTATCAAACACACTCTGAAAGCTGTCAATTCACATGACATATTGCATGTTAAATAACTCAAGTAAAACTCAAGTAAAATCCATTTTAACTTTGCTGTATTTATATACTATATAAATTTTACATGCTATATATTTACAGTGGGGCAAGTGCTTTTTATCTTTAAAAAAACAAAGATCAAACTTTAGACATCTCTGAACAACACAGCTTGTATAAACCAGACAGATTATTCAGATGAACTGTATTTAATACAGGTTCCCCACTCATCTCCTGATGCAGGACCAGTGAATAATAAGTGCATCACAGTTTGATAGCATTTAATAATAAAAATAAAAATCACAGTATGAATTTGTCTGTAACTAGAAACTTCAGAAGGACAAAACAAGACAACTGGGACTAAGTCAAGACAAGTGACACTATATAAAAAAAAAGTAATAAAAACATATGGGAGAGTATACAAATAGTTTGAGATACATTCAGAACAGTATATTCTGATCAGTATGTTTTCACACCGTTGAAAACCAGAACATTTTCTTCAGATCTTGAATATAACTAAAAATGTGAAGTAAATTAGTTTCTAGTGTCAGACATCACAGAAAAAGAAATGAAGCTCTTGCAAAACTCTAGTTATTTGAGAGCTTGTGAAATTTTAAATAAGTCTTTAAATTAAATATACAGACTGTCAGTTGCAATTTTTATAATTCCGTGGTTTCCTGGTCTTTCTTGCACCAGATGTCTAACTTGGAGTAACATTACATGAATAACACACAATCAACCTGAGTCTGTAATTAAGCAGCATTTGAGATGTTCTATTCCAGGGCATTATTTTCAGTGAGTTATTTACATGGTCATTTACAATGTTCAGCAGTTGTAGAAAGTTTCCACCCTTTTGGATTACAAGTACATTTTAAAAAAGAAAGTCTCAAGTTAAAAACTAAAAAAAAGTTCTTTCATGGTAAAATTCTGTACAGTAATCTGAAGCACCACTTATGATTGGGTTTTGCTTTGATGGTAATTATATCGTTCTGATAATAATTTTTACGTTTTGATGGTTAGTATTGTTTTGATGATGTTTGTTTGTTGGTTTTGATGGTAGGTTGTTTTGGATGGTAAAGGTTGTTTTGGATAAAAAATAAGTTGTTTTGAATGGTAAATAAGTTGTCTTTTTAATGCTAAATAGGTTGTTGGGTTTGATGCTAAATAGGCTGTTGGTTTTGATGCTAAATAAGTTGTTGGGTTTGATGGTAGGTTTAGTTTGAGTATTGAAGGCTTCCGTCAGTAAGCTCCGTATCTGAAAAACAAAAGGCAGCGCTGTCATTCCGCGGCTCGATAGCAGTGTGCAAGGTGAACAGCGCAGGCGGGAGCCTGCACCCGCTGCAGGGCTGCAGCGGCGCCGGGGGACGCTCCCACACCCTGTGTTAACGCTGCTGCATCCAACAGAAAATCCGGACAAGCCACCTGCTCAGACAGCACGTGGGAGCTCTGCTGGGTCAGTTACTCAGGGCTGAAGCTCTGTCTGGGGGTTTAACACGTCAGCATCCTCCTTTCACTAGGGATCTTTTGGTTGAGCTGACCACATCTTATCCGCAAAACCTTTGGTAACTTGCTAGGAAAAACATGCAAGGATGCTGGAAGTTAACTGCTTTAAAGCTGCTCCTTCTCTCATCTATCTCAATTCTCTTTAAATCGTAAGTTATCTGTAGGCAATTTCATCCCTGTTAATTTATTCAAAGTAACCTGAGTCCAGATGGCAAGGCACAACCTTAACACTCCCTTCTCAGGTGTCTCCAGCTTAGCTGAGAGCTCCAATACTCTCTAAAAACACACAGCCAAACAGCTTTTTTTTCTTTGAGATTAGATCTCATCATTCAAAAAAATCTATTTAAGAAATCCATTTTTTTAAGACTCACCTTCCACAAGATGAATAAAGCTAATTAACATCCTTAGCTCTGATGAAATATAAAACTCTATTACTTACCATAGTTGTTTTACACAGCCCAGTCCTATCCTACCTGCACTGCAAGCAGGATATTACTGCTGTATTTATCAATGACCATCCCATTCACCTACACAACCCAGCAATCACAAAGTGCCTGATTTGTGTTATTGGATGTAAAATACTTGCTTCCTTCCTACTCTTACAACTCATTTAGAAAAACAAAAACCAAGTTTGCCATCTGCTGGTCAGATAATTTACTAAAGTCAAAATAGTTTTAGACCAGATGCCTTTTCTTCTATGCTGCTCCTGATTTATCTAGAACAGAGATACTTAAAATTCAGAAGAATCAGATTTCTTTCTATAGCCTCATAATTAAAAAAGCCTGTATTTACAACACAAGTATATGGCAGACTTTGTTTCACACATGCCCCAGCATGTAATCATGCTGGTTTTTCAACAAGCCCTTCCTGTCCCGAGTAAACTTTTCAGTGCAGAAATGTATGGTCTGACTGTGACAATTCACCTCAACATGGGAACCAAAAGGAAATTTTGAAATTTCATTCCAAGATTCTCCAAACTTCTCAAATACTGAAATGACTTCAACTGTAGTGCAAAAAGATGCAGTTCCTACGTTCTCTGTGCTTGAAGAGGGCGAACCATTAATATGTGGGACTGTCACTGATGGTTAAGCCAATCATTAAATTCTGGCTAGGGATAAAACATAGCAAATCTAAGAATATAACTTGCCTTTGGATAGTGAGCTGTCTTCTTCAGGGCTTACTTCAGTTATCTATAAGAGGAAAATATATTGTTGTGGGGGTCTTGTTTGTTTTCTAAGAACTATGGTCTTGCTAATAATTTAGCTGATATTTTACAGAGTATTGATATGCTATACAGGCAAATATCTGGATTATAATAATGCTATATTAGAAAGATACTGAGCTTTTAAAAACTCAACAGTTTTGTTGAATCTATACATCTCTGTAGCCCTATAATAAGCCAAATAATGTTAAAAGATGGAACAATTTATCTTCTTGTTATAGATGTTTACTAAAATATCTGATTAACTGGGTCTGCGTCTTTATGTCAGCTAACAGGCAGCTAATCTAAGAAGTCATTTTATAATACACACTTCTGTTCAGAAAATTTCCCTGGGAAAACATGGTCAAACTTGATTTTGGATGTTGAATTTATTATAGGGTGCAGTCTTCTTCATTGCCTAATTCTAAAAAAAAAAAATTAAACTTTATTATCTGCCAAGAGTCCAAGCCAGAACTACAAGCAACAGCAAGGAGTTGAGCATGAATTCAGTTAGGTGCTCAAGCTCATATTTAGTTTTCTATAAAGAGATGTACCAAATTGGTTTTTTTTTATATTAAATACTGGGGAAGAGCTGTTTCATTAGCCCATTTCTCTGAATATTTAAGCCTATACTACCAGAAGAAAAGCACAAGTAAATAAAATGGTAGCAGGAATTTAACATACTCTCCAGATGTTAAACTGCAAGGTATTCTCTGGAGGATTAATAACTGCAAATTCAGTGTGCTTAGGAGAAGGCAGAGCTACATCTGACCAAAATACTTCGGTATTATTACTAACTTATGTTACTCTGAATACGCAGTCACCAGTGTGCCTATGTTATAAAATAGCCGAGTGTAGCATTTTAATGAAATCATTTATCCTAGCAGTCTTTTGGGGGGGAGTGGGGCGGGAGGGAGATGGTGTTTTAATATAACATTATTAGCCTGGAAGTCTCATGTCACCGTCTCCCATCTTAACTATGCAGCCTCCTGTCTACCTACTAAACACGTTTTCAAGATATGGCTGCCTAAAATTAACTAGTTAATCAGACTGATGGCATCCTGCATCTCTCCTGCTGGTTCTCCACTTAACTATTGCATCAAATTAAAATTACTGGGTCCTCCAGCCCTTGCAGTTGTCTTTTAGACCTTCTTTCCCAGCAATCATTCAAAAATGGAAAGAAAATAGCCTATAAGCTTTGTTTTACTGATGCAGACTGTTTGGAAGGCATAACACACTGTGCAGTTTGCATCGCACAGGTATTTTAAAACTACTGGAAATAATATTTTCTGCTTGAATAAAAAAGAATTCTGTAAACTTCCTGTGGCCCCTTACCTCTCACATAGTCGCTGGGTGCGACGGAACTGTATTTCTTGCTTTCACCAGCATTGGAAGGCTTCCCTTCCTTGTAGGGTTGTTTACTGCCCTGGTTTCTGTATTGCTCACATAAATAGTCATCTGGAGGACGGGATTCTTCCTTCTTCTCCCGTGTTTTTTTCTGGAAACGAGGATCTAAGTATTCCAAGAAGCCTTTCAGTTTCCTGATGTGCTTCTTCTTTTTCTTCTTTTTCTTACGTTTGCGATTGTCATTGTCAAAGTGGAGCACAGAGAAATCCGAATCATAAAGTCTGAAGGAAACATGCAAGTTAATAATAGCAAAACAGATGTGGCACTTGATGCATATATGAAACTTTATTTATTTTACCACAGGTGACGATTTGCAGCATGTCAGCTACTCTGTGGTAATTTCTGCAAGTCTACCTTACGTTAGGTGTTGCAAACTTATGCCCTCAGAGCCTGAAGGACAACAGGTCCCGGTGTGTACACAAATCATTACCCAGGGCTAGCTCTGGAATATGTGGAATTAAAAAAATAATAATAAAAAAATCTTGTAACCTAAGCAAGACCTGCGTGCAGATGTGGTTCTAACTAGGTGGTCCAGTTCTAACATTCCGACACAGTTCGGTCATATCTTTCCTATTTTCATGTGATTGACCTACTGACATGATCCCCAGCCAGATTCTGCCATATAAATAACTTAGAAACAATGAAAAGGGGAAGACATGAGAAACAACCAGAAAGGAATTAGGAAAACTTTGCTGATTATGCTGTAATCCTTGCTTACTTGTAATCCTTCTCTCGATGTTTATCTTTGGACTTCTTTTTCTTCTTGACTTTCTTGTATTTTTTCAATTTTTGATCACCTGAATCTGATCGCTCTTTTTCTACCTTTCTATGTTTCTTTTCTGTTTCGCTTTCGCTGTCCTCTGCACGGGAATATTTTCTTTTTCTGTTTCTTTCTTTTTCATCGCTGTGGGAGGAGTCCTCAAAATTTGAATGAGCTGACATAGGTGGAAGCATGTGCCTTTCGCGAGGGTATTTTTCGGACTGTTGCTGAGGTACTGAAAAATGATGCATATCTGCTCTGTGACTGCTGAAGTGATGCACATCTTCCTCTCGAGAGAGTGAATTGTGCAGCCATCTGCTTTTGTAATGATAATCCTTATGTGACCTGTTGTTGTAAGCTTGACTCGATTTGTCAAAGTCTTTATCACAGTGAGAGAACTTTCTCTCTCTACCATCTCTTGTTCCATAAGAGGAATAGTAATCATTGTAGTATCTACACTTTTCCCATCTCCGTGGTTCATCCTGATAGTATCTTTCTCTGCTCCAAGTTCGCTCTCCTTTGGAATGATAATACCTGCTTCTGTCTTGTTCTGTCCTCCCTCTGCTTCGCGATCTGTACCGAGGATACTTTCCTGAGCTTCTGCCATTATCGGGGCTGCTTCTGTCATTGTGAGAAGATCTGTACTTGCTACCATTGCAATATTCTTGCTTGTGACGGTTTTGCTTATTTGTTTCCATGCTGCGAGAGCATCTCCGCTTGTGAGTGTGACCATCTGTTTTGCTTCTGTTTTGCTTCTCTCTCTCCTCTGTGTCAGAGTGTTCTCTCTTCCTTCGGTAGTGCTCTTTGTCATTTTTCTTAGAGTCGTATATTTTTTTCTTATATTTTTTCCTATGCTTATATTCTTCACATTTTTTACTACTCAGCCCCTCACTGTCTCTAGAAAATTGACTCTCCAAAACTTTATCCAGCTTCGTAATTGAAGAGTCATTGACAGGTGGTACTTCTATATAGTTATTAGAAACATCCTTTGATTCTTGGCCTTTATCTGTAACATCTACAGATGCAAGTTTTTTAGAATTACATTCAATGTCAGACTTTATAGAGGAAGTTTGCCCTAATTTCTCTTCCGTCTCAGGAGACCCTTTGATGTACAAAGGATTTTCTTTAGAAATGAGTTCAGATTCTTTTGATCTTCTTGGTTTGTCTTTGTCTGCACTGTCTTCAGACACACACTGCCCAAGGAATTCATCTTCAGCATCCAAGGATCTTTTCCTGACCTTGTGCTGGCCATTGATATTGGGATGTGCATTATCAGCTTTTGATACAATACTTTCAGCAACTTCTTCTTTGGTAGCAACGGTTTCAGAATCTGATTGAACAAAAAGATTCTCGACCTCACAGCTAAAGTCAGAAGGAACCTTCCTGGACTCTTCGTAGACAAAGAGTGCTTCCATCACAACAGTTTCCATAAGAGCATCATTCTCTAAAGATTTCTGAGGTCCAGGGACACTGCACAGAATAAAAATGCATTTGTTAATTTGGTCAAGAGTCATGGGACATTAATAGTAAAGTTCTGTTATGTAAAAACTGACAGCTACTGGCAAACTCTGAAAGACATTGCCTTTAGAAATCTTATCTTCTGATTGCTACACGTTCCTCAGCTCCCAGAGAAGAGCTTTCTTGTTTCTTCTAAAGTAGTGCATTGAAAAAAAGGTCTTTCTCCCTGTGCTGTTCTGAATCACAGCAATAGCCAAACCCACCATATTTGCTCTTCTCCCACCTAAGAAAAAGTGTTTATGTGGGTTTCCCTTTCTCCCTCAAACACAAGGGAAAGCAGACGGCAGGAATTTAGACTTCACAATGTACATTCATGGATACATCTCCAGAGGTGGAGGAAAAAAAAAAAAAAAGAGGAATAAAGAAAGTGTTACAGACAATACTGCAAACTGCAAACATTCTGTGTGGAAAGCAAGGATGCACAGTGCTGATCATGAGCTCTGTTTGTAATATTGCATATGTGATGGGGAATTCTCTGTATTGATTTAAATATTTCAATTAAATGATAGTGGTAGATAGGTAAACCCATGACAAAGGTATATAAAATATTATTTTAATCAAAGTGTACTCATTTTACCTTATTTCCTCTGACAAGCTGTTCAACTGGCTGTATGTGAGGGATTCTAAGATTATTTCTTGAGGAACCGGAGGCAAAGCTACAGGCATCTACAATTAGAATGTAGAAGTTAACAGATCGAAAGACAGTATCCATAGCAGAAAACTACTGTTCACAATATTTCTACATTAAATGTTAAATAAGATTGCTTTGAGTGACAGGCATTAGCCACATTTTAAACATAACCCCACCCATTCCTTATGAAACTCTTATGAATCTTATCTCAGCTAAGCTTGTCCTAATACATAAGCTCAGCTCTGAAAATTCTAGTGGGAAAATAGCACTGGAAGTGCCATGGCTAAAGTAGTGCCACGGCTAAAGTACTGCCATGCTTTTCTCCTCAGTATTTCACCTTGGTTAGGAACACCACAATATTCCTAAACACATCATGTGTGAGAAGTTCTAGATGAAACAAACAACTTACTGTTTCAAGCAATCCATTTGTTTTAGAAAAGAAAATCTCTGAAGGTTTAACAGGTTGTACTTGGCAAGTGGAATCGTCAAGTTTCAGTCCATTTTCTTTAGATTCATTATCTAAACTAATAGCACCATTTAATGAATCATTTTTTGGCAGCTCATGCTGGGGTCTTTCTTCTTCAGCATTCTGACAGGAAGAATGGGAATTCTGCAATGTACGGACTACCTTTCCAATCAAAATTCCATTAGAAGATACTACACTGCAATTCCTTTTAAATAAGCCCTTCGACTCCTCCTCAGATTTTCCTGAAGATTCTGCACCGTAAGGGACTGTGTTATCAGAGCTGAGTTTAGGATTTCCATTCACTGCTGGCTCGACAAAAATTTCATCGGGAACTTCTTGTTTGGAAACATTAGTAGCAACTGACATTGTAGATGCATTTGAGGTAGACTCTGCTGCAGAAGAATTTGTAATTGTGGAGGAAGGAACAGGCTTGCTGAGATCCTCCTCCTCAACAGCACTGCTAAGAGCGTCAGGCTGAGACACAGTCTGACGGGCAGGCAATTTGTTATGAATACTGATAGTAATCTTCTGTTTTTTTGATGGATCAGTAATTGAAGGCCTCGTAATTGCCCAGTTTTGAACACAAGCTGTTGGTGGAGCTGACGATGGCCTTTTCAGGGTGACACCAATGGTGTTGGGATCTTCTTTTAGAGTTCCATTTCCGTTTAACCTACTTGAATTCTGCATGTAAAGAGAACGGATTGCAAGATTGGTATATGCGAACACATGGCATTTAAAACACCAGAACATAGAACTCTCCCACTAAATAGTTCTAAATTGCCCCAACACCTATAAAAAAAAATACTTATATATAAGTCCACTAAGTGAGTTTCTAGCTTTGGTTTTCTGCATATTTGCATCAAATGAGTATCATTGTTAATATCCCATGCAAATAACACTGACTAAAGCTATTCCCATATATATGTATATATATATATTTTATATGTATAGTTCCAATGCTCAGGAACCAAACAATTTGGTTTCACTGTCTCAGCTGAAGTGATAAAGCTAAGAAAGAAAAAAAGAGTTTTTAAAAACAGTATAAGCATTAGTAGATGCTACCCAAACTCTCTCAGGCTTTAGGAATTTCTGAAGGTTTTAGGCAGCAGAGTTGGAAGAAAAAAACCTAATGAGGCAGCAGAGGTGCACGTCTTACTATTAGCCACTATTTGAATGATTTTGGCTGTAATATGTGGGCTGTGAAGAAAGCTGCAGAGTGGAAGCTAAAATAAAACTCAGATGCTTTTAAAGTAACAACAGCAAGGAAAATCAACAAACCCCTACCAATTTGGAACTGTTATCTGCCCAATAAAAATTACCTTAATCATGTGAGGAGGAAGCCGTGGTCCCATAAATCCAGTCTGCTTATTATTAGCCCCCCGCTGACCGAGGAATGAGCGGGGATACGACGGTGCGGGTAAGTAAAAAGCGCGTTCTCCAAGCGTCAAATCATAGCGCCTAGGGAAACGAGAGTGACTGCAGTTTAGAGGTGCTGTTTGGCCTTAAATCCCATCCTCCAGTTTTGTAAGAGCAGTTAATATGACACATTTGTATATAGACGATTTAACCAATGCTACAAACTGAGACATAGTTAATGGTCTCGCTACAATGTCAGTCCTTTTTAGATCAGTAACTCATCCCTATACTTAACCTCTTTTCAATTAGCCAGTAAAGATATGTAGCAATTTACTCAAGTGCAGCTGTTTAAGACTAAGCAATGAAATATAATAAATGACATGAGGAATTTCAGATTAGGTAGAACTGAGTTATGAAAACATTTTTTTTCCCAGAGCAGTAAAACAAAACAAAAAAAAAATAAGAAAAATATGAATATCAGGATTGTAAAGGTATTTTAAATGCATCTTAATACTTGTCATTACCTGATATAAAAAAGCATATATGCTTGTTGACTGAGAACTGTTTTTATATCACAAAGAACTACAGAAGCATCATTCATGTGGTACCAAAGTCCGTTAGCAGCCTGAAAATAAAGTCAACAATATCTTTAGATGAATTGCACATTTTTAAAATTAAATCAGACAAAACACTATGGAACAAAGAACAAACCAAAGCAAACATAATATGCAACAATACCTTTTCCTCTAAAAACAGTGGTTACAAATAACGTTTTAATGAAGCTTTGTCTTTGTCAATACAAATTTTAGAGAGTAAATTGATATTTACCTTTATGTAGCAAAAATAGTGCCCCGCATGACAATTAACACCACTATGTACTAGGACTGCATATAAGGCATAGAGCAGTGGTTCCCCGATGGACTGAGACATGTAGGCTCGAAGATCCAAATATTCAGGATATTTTACCTCCTAAAGAGAAACCAAGAGGGTTCAAAAACTATCCTGAAATACCTTATGAAACAGCCTGCTCAGAGAAAATACAGACTAAAATTATACATTTTATGGATCAATAAAGATACTTCTTTTGATTAATAACACTTAGCAATCTAAGTTGCAAAAATTATTTTCTGAAAAGTCAGCTTTTTAAGCTGGATATATGCTCTTAAAGAGTAGAGTATATTCTTACTGGCATGGGAACTTTACTGGTAGCATTAGGCTAAAAATAATTATTTTTATATTGATTTTTATTAGATATCTAGAGTCTAGTTATTGTTTGCTGACATTACCAGCTTTTAAATTAGTATTCTGGTTTTGGAAATAAGAGGTTGCATTACAGCCATACCTTGCTGATCTTTCCACCGGTGAAATTTGCAAATCTTTTGAGGGATATTGTAAGAACATTGGAAGAACGATGTATTGTAAACCTTTTTGATGCAGGAACCATCTTCTTACACCTTAAAAACAAGCACAAACAATTGTTTAAAAGTGTCTTTCCTTTCCCCCCGAGAGTCAAACAAGTTTTCATATCTCATACATGCTTATGCTATTTGAATGATATTTACTTGCATAATATGTTTTTTCTTTTCATAAATCCATATACTGCATTTCAGGTTTGCTAATACAGAGAAGATAGCAGGATATAAGAGGACAGCTCTACAGAACAAAGAATAAAGGATTTAGAACATTATCTTTCGATAGTCAAACAAATGTTTGAACACGTATCTTTGTTATGCCAAAAAATAAGGCTCGCCAGCAACTTAAAATGTAGCAGGAACATGAATCTCTCTGGGTAGAGCACATTAGCATGTAACACAAGGTAGCACTGAAGAGTTATTCTCTATAAGAATTATAAAAGTAGCTTAGTCCAACTCATGTCCTGGATACATTCTTTCAGCTTTCTGTTGGAATACAAATGCTAAAAGAACTGCAAAAATGGAGCTTCAGCACTCAGGATTAGAAACTGCAAAGCATTTCCAAAATGAATCATTTATCAATGTCAAAAAGCAATAGAAGCAAACAGTCATGCTACTGGAGTAAGACGTTTGACAGTAATATGTCCTCATGTGCTCAGGTTGCCTGGGAAGAGACTGAACCATCTGAAATCCTTTGAAACTAATTGCTAATTGTAAATTTGTTATGTAGTCCACTCACAGGTAAGATATACAGTGTACGCAGTGCAATTCAACTACTATCACAGAGAAATACAGGCAAATATTGAAATATGCCAGTTTACATCATCAAGAAAAGTACTGCTAAAAGCTAAAATAAGTGGAAAGAATTAGTCTCTTTTCAGTTTCTGATGTTAAAATACAAGACAGAAAATTCCAAATCCAGCAATAATGCCAAAAAGAAAAAGTGCTCAATGATTTTCTATTAAACTTATAGTTACATGGGAAGTTTTGAGATGGCAATCTATTAGAAAAAATCATGGTAGAAAATGGAGGGAAAACATCAATAATGTCAATTAGGAAAAAAAAAAAAAAAAAGGAAAAGAGAAACAAACAAAAAATCACCAAAGTAACAGACAGTTTACCAGAGATAGAAAAGATACTGCATATGCGCAAGATCTTTGTTTTTAAGCTCACTGAAAAGAAAACAGAAACCTGTGCCTTGAAGTATGACTATACTGCTCATAGCCCTCAGAGATCATGCAATTCAGATGAGCTGGATGAAGTTCATACAAACCAGCCTGTAAGATATCTCTTAACTCCATATGCCTTCAGGGAGGGTAGGTTGGGTTCCAGTGGCTCATTTTAGACACCACCTTTTCACAGCTTTTACAGTTCAGAGGCATGGCAGGATAGTGAGCCAGCAGAGATGGAGCTCTCCCTCACTATCACTGAGCCTGTTCAGATTCACCTAGACCCACTCTAATGTTGTTCCACTCTGGCTTCTTCAGGAGACTCTTACTGCTTCCCACCGCAGATCACTGCGCAGAGCTCCTTGCTCGAGCTCACCAGCATACACAGTATAGGATGTGTCTAACCTCTTGCCATAGGGATACTGCAGCGCACAACCTCCTCATTTGGGAGATCGAGCACTCCCAGTGGAGACAATACTAGAAACAGAATGTTAGTATGACCACGTGTCTGCACTGCCAAGTATTTAAAGAGAATAGCAAAAATCACTGTCTTGGAAACAAATGTCTATTTTTCCAAGTTTTGGAGTATTTCGATATATTCATCACTAAAACAAAACAAAAGCTGTGTCTCATTGTGTTTCTAAATTAAGTCAAAAGATAACTCATGCTCTAAAATATACAATGCTTTAAACCAGTATCTAGTCTTAAGACATAAATTGTAATAATCTTACTTGCTACATTTATAGCAATTTTCACCGTCCAGCTGTTCGGGCTTCACAAATTGTTCTAGAGCTCTGGTGACAGATGAAGCTGCCTGCACGAGAAAGACAGTACTAAGTTACTGGAAATTCAATATTCCAAACCTTTAGTAGTAGTTTACAAGAGGACCTTGCTAGCTCAGGCTTAACAAACCTCCAATGAGCCAGCGTAGACTGGGAAGGAGGCAGAAGCAGAGTACACTGAATATTTCAGTCATTTTAAAATGACTTTACTTTCATAAAAATAAAGTAATTGTTTGATACCACCGACAGTTAGCGAATATGTCACATGCAGTGTCATAAACAAAAAGAACTAAAACAACCAGTATAACAATTATACTGAAGTAGTACAAAACAGTGAAGTAGAACCATATCATGTGTGTAGATATAATTATTATCTGAACAGTTTAAAATCAACACAATCATGGGGACCACTACATGGCTTCCACAGAAAGACAAACTTCAGTCCACTTCCCATCCACCACCAAGCTGTTTTGTGTTAACAGCATATATTTTGAGTAAACTGAGTTCTTGAGCCATAGTTACAGAACATCTTACCTTAATATCCAAAGCAATATCAAGGAATGCCTCATAGGTGTCCGAAACTGCTTTGCAGTTCAAGCACTTTACTGGAATCAAAATATAAATGCTTAGCAATATAAGAAATAGATTAATGGTGAACATTTAAATTAACATGTATTATTTTATAACTAGGAGCTGCTTTACTACAAACAGACAAAAAAGCACAGATCAATTCTAAGAACAGTTATATTATTTAAGAGTACCTCTGGATCTTAGAAATCCGCCAAAAATCTGATGAATTACTGTCGTAGCTTGAGAAGATCTGTCTAACCTGGAAATAAATTATAAGCAAAGCTCAGAAGACTTGAGGCAGAGTGTTAACTCTTCAAAGAGTCTTTCTTTTTATGAAAATCATGGACATAGATTTTGGTTTATTATCATAAAGAAAAGAGTAAGAAGATCTAGAAAACATTAATGATATATTTGCTGATACTTACTTGGTGCTACCATTCAAACAGGCTTTCTGCATGGCATCAACAGTGTGACGTAAAAACTCATGCGCGTCTTCCTGACTGCCAAAACGGAACTGTTTTCCTATTCCTAATAAATAAGAAATTTGTGGTATTTATTTTGCATAAAAGTGAAAGAAAACTTGTATTTCAATAATCTCTCTTCCTTAAAAATAAACCTTGGAAACTGTTTATGCACATTAAATAATCTTAGAAACTTTTTAAAATAACTAAAAATAATCTGAAATTACTTACTTCTAAGGTCATTGATGACAGGTGTAGGTTTGATGGCCTCAACAGAGCAACAAAAGACCTGATTAATATGAGTTTCCATTGTGCACATCATGCAGAAGCCTTGCTCGCGACCTGAAGAACAAAGGAAGAAAGCATCTCAGTCTAGCAAAACATAAAAAGCTATGGAAAAACCTTACAAAATAAAATCTTCAGGTTATAGGTACAATCTCCATTTTCCCTTCTCTTTTCTTAAGGTGCTAGAATTCCAAGATTCTTGTGACATTTCATTGCACACTACTATACAAAATAAAAATATCTCTGTATTAAAATACATCTGCTGATGAGAAATCTAAATGACTATTGCCAAGTCAGTATTTGCAGGCTGAGAAGAATTTGAATTCTACAGATAGAAGAACATACGAGTAACAATATTTGACACTGATAATGCTGCATTAAAAAAGAATTTGTGTTATTTTCAGCACACCGCTGTCAGGTGAGCTACATGAAACAGAGATAAGAATCCTTTGGGAGAAAAGGAGGGTTGATTATGTATCTACAAGTATTTCTACTCTCCTCTTTTTTCCAAAGGATGCTTAACTGCAAGACTTTTTCTATATAATAAGCACAATGTTAAACTCCTGGGAAGACATACTAAACTAGAAAGATTAAAGCACACAGGTGCCTTTGTCAAAGTATCCATATATAGATGCAAGAGCCTAATAGGCTTAAATAAGTTCAAGGATAAAAATAAAATTAAAAAACATGAACTCAAGGGTGGAAAAAATAAGGAATTTTATTTAAGATAAAATCAGTCTCAATTTTAATACAGTCCCACAGAAATTTGTATTTGATTCCATGTGATCCCACTAGCTCATATGTTTGTTTTTTAATGGTTCAACAGTGCATATATAACTTTATCACAGTATGAAAATTAGGCTGTGAAGGAACACTAAGAATCTATGACGCTACTCCAGCCTAAATTTGATCATCTTCCTAACAGCAGGAAATTCAAACGCCAAATATTCACTAAAGGGATCACTTTCCAATACACTTTGTTATTGACATGAAGCAAGCAATGATCTTCCTTTGAAATTTAAGGATGGTGCATTAATGAAAGAATGCACTATACAAGCTTTTCTGAGCCCAATGTTAATACAATATTCAAAGCCATCTTGTACAGGTAAAGCAAGGAAAGAGTTTCCTTCACAGAATCAATGCTCTTCTTTCACATTCAGAGCTGTCCAGCAGATTTAAAATAAAGTTAAAAAGTACGCACATGATTGGGTGTGTTCAAGAGAAAGCATATAATTGGCAAGAGGCGGGGTGTAAGTCAAACACTGTAGAGCAGAATTGACAAAACAGGTATTGCCAAGATTGTAAAGTCCCACTCCAACACTTTGTGTTTGCTGCCAATCCATACAAATCTTCTCAGGTGGAAAAAGAATTCTCTGAGGTGGAGCAATTCCATCATTAACGACTGAAAGAGAATTACATTTTAAAAGAGATTGTGTTATTTTGCTCTAAAAAGGGCCATTTTTAAAAATAGCATTCCGTATCTAAGCACTCTGAGGCCAGCTGTAATTTATAACATGCTATTTTCACTAATTCTTGCCATGTTTCTTCTTCTTATCTAGATTCATTAATCTGATTGATTTTTGTTTTTTTCTTATTGTAACTTCAACCACTAGTTATATAGGCAACTATCACAGATATCAGAACTATTAATATCAGAACATTTTGCAAGAGATGTTATCTTTCATAGACTCGTGATTAATAGAAATCACAAATAGCAATGATAAAACACTTTTGCATCCTGTGCAATAGAAAATATGTGGTTAAGTCCAAGTATTATGAAGAAAAACTCTCCATAATGCACAGTACATTGCAAACATATCAAAATTAGCTTTTGTGACACAATTACATAGTTGTTACACTAGTTACTAGCCACACAGTTGTCTTAGGGAATTCACAAAATTAGTCTACTGTTGAGGTCTTTATTCACAGGCATAGTTTCATTTTACGCCAGTTCAACAAGTAAACATGCAGGATAGGACTGACATATGCTACTTTTTTTTTTTTTTTAATGCAGGATAAAAGATATCATTACCTAGATCTCTTTGGGCAAAAGGTTTAGATTTTTCAGACGATCTACAATAAATAGCACCTCCAGGTCCTTGGTTCACGGAGACTTGTTTTTGATCTTCTGAAGGTGGTACCCGACCCCAATTGGCGGTGCGTGACTTCATTTTTTTAGTACGGGGTTTCTTTGATTTGCCAGACCGTCTGGATGATGACTTTTTAGATTTTGAGGATTTTGGCTTGTTAACTATGGTCATTGTTCATATCTGCAACAGAGGAAAAAGTTGTGGTTGTTGCAAGACTGTTAAGAAGAATTCCAGAAGGAAGAGCAGAAATCCTGGGACATAATCTCTAAGAAACAATTTGCTGAAACAAATAGCTGATCTGAATGATTTTAATCTGCAATAAATTGGAATACATTTTTTACAATACAGAAACACACGTGATATTCTCTGAAGGGTATCATTTGTTTATCCATTGCCAGTGCTAGTAACAGAATACTCCTTTACAGCATCACTGTAAAGGAGTTACAGTTTTTTATGTACAAAGTAACCTACACTCAGCTGGTACTATAATCACTTTCTTTCCAGTACTCATTTTCCAGTGCTCACCGCATCAATTGCAATGCCTTTTTTTTTTTTTTTTTTTTTTGTTATTCTATACTGTGTATGACATTAATTTGTGAGAGCTACCCAGCCTGTGGCATGAGGTTCCTTCTTCCAGGTCTACGGAAGCTGCAAACACTGGCACTTTCAAGCCCTGGCTCAGTGAGATTACAAAGGAGCAGTTTGGCCCAGCTTTGCACTCCTGAGAACCACATACCTCAAGAATTCAGAAGATGAGGTATATCTTGGGAAAGGAGAGCAAGAGAAGGATTACAGACTTATTTCTGCCTGGGTTTCTTCTGTCCTCCCAGCAAACACTTGCTTTGATAAAATTTTTGGCAGCAATACTTGCAAGTGTGATGGTTGCAAAAATATCACAACTCTTACCATAAACAAAAATTAGACTGAAAAACATCTCTAATTTTCAGTTTCACTTAGCATGATTGCACTTTTTTTTTCTCGTCTAAAAAGCAACTGAGGAATGTAAATTATAGATAGGAAACAGTGGATGTTACCCCCCACACACAAAAACCCCCCACAAAACTCAACCCTCAGGGACAATTAACTAAGTCCTTTAACTCGTTATGTTTCAAGATAGTAATTCCTTAAATAGATGCAATAAATACATTTTAATAAACATAATTCCAAGAAATTGAAACATTATGTTATACACAATATATATTACCAATTTCTGCAGGTAAATTTTTGTTAGAAATTTGTGCGCTATCTGGCTGTACCATAAAGGAAGGGCCTTTCCTCTAGCACATCGACTGGAAGTTTAAAGGATAAGCTACCGGTTATTATACTGCAATGACTGAGACATCACAATATCAAGTGGGTTCACATTTATGATGTAATGACTGATTACATCAGTCAGACAGGATAAATAAAGCACAGTAAACTGCACCACTTATAGTCCCACAAATGACACATTATGTACTCTTTAATTAGAGTTCCCACCCTCCCTTTAAAATTTCAATTAAAAAGGCCTTTAAAATCCATTCTAGTCACAGATTATCAAACAGATTCAATACGCTACATAAGGGCTTCTTTGTTTCATTCCTTCGGTGTTTTTGCCTTGTACTTGTTGACAGATTTCAAACAGTATTTGTAAACAGCTTTCCATTTCTCAGAAAAGAACACACAAAACTAAAATCTTAACTGAGAAATGAAGACATCCTGGTCCAAATGGAAGATTAAGATGACAGGTCTTGGGCTCAGTGAGTTTCAGCTAAGATCCAATCTTCAAAGTGCAGCTACTAGCCAAGTGCCATCTCCTTTTTAAAAAACAAAACAAAACAAAAATTAAAGGAAAAGCATTAGAAAAATCTTTTGAAGAAACGTATTTGAGGAGGGAAGAAGAATCAACACTGTGGCGAAAGGGAAACCAAAAGATTATCTGAGAAAGCTTGAGAGCTCTACAGAACAACAAGATAAGGCTTAGCTATTTGTAAAATTTGTTTTTGATGATCAGTACGCGACCAGATAACCAGTACTGTGTAACAGCAATAAATCAGATCCAGCACTCTGTCAAGATATGTTGATTCTTATCCTAAGATAACTCCTAAGGTGGATATATCAACTCTCTGAGAAATAGACAAAAAAACTGCAAACATTGACAGTGGTCCCGATGCCACTGTTGTTCTCCCCTGCCCATGGTGGCGGCCCGGCACGCATGCTCACGTACAATTTTTTCCCCTACACAGTTGTCCTTCAAAGTTTTTCCTGGTCCAAGGTCGAAAAGAGATTTCAGTAAGATGGATAAAACACTTTCTTTCAGAAGGAATGTGGAGTTTTGCATCCAAATTACACAGACTTTGTGCGCACTCTCATCACAAACCAGCCTCCGAGTCCTCGTGCTCGGCCTCCGGGCACGGAGCAGCCGCGGCTCTGGGTCGCCCGGCACGCGGCAGAACCCGCGCTACGGCAACAGAGCCGCCCAGCGCGGAGCTTGTTACAAAGCAAACATTCCCCAGCAGTGATAGTAAGAAACAAGGCACACGCAGGAGTAACAGGAAGCTACTACGGTATGTATATGGGGACGATGCACATGTTTATGTTTCTGGATTACAAACTGCAGCAACGTACTGCAGCGCAACAGTAAACCAAAAATAATAATTAAAAAAGGGAAGACCACGTACTAGTTTTAGTTTCACTCAAAAAAAAAATCCAGCATCCGAGCCAGGAAGTACAGAATTAATTATCCCTTTACCCTTAACTGGAAGCCAACTATGCA